TCCCGTGAGGCAGAACCCTGTACCCCCCGATTCCCAGGTGAGCGGTGACGGCGGTTGCCATTACAGGGAGGGAGAGGCAGCACAAGAAGCGAATCAATTATGCTGCAGTACAAGAAGGATGCTGATAGGAGAGGAGAGTAGAGTGGCAGAGAAATGATCTCATCAGTCTGCTGCTTCTTCTTTCACTGTGAAAGGTGCCTAAGTGTTATTGGACTGCAGCAGAGAAAACTCAGTTTTTTTTTCCTTGTCAGACAGACTGTAAATCTCAGGATTGGATGGACAGAAATACAAATCCTATGGTAGGTAATACAACTTCTGTATCGCCGGTATTTTCTCTAAGAATTTAGGTATTTCCTGTTGTCCATGTGTAGACTTCTTTGGGGTTAGGGGATGTCTTCCCAGCAACCCCATGGCAAGAACTAGGTTCATATGGATCTGTGGAGAGGGAGGGTAGGTTAATTGAGCTGGCAGGAGCAAAATGGTAAGTACACTCTATCTAAAAGCTTACTTATCCTTTAACCCTAATGTAATTTCAGATGTAGTGGTAACCACACCGACATAGCTAAACTAAATATGGCTCTTCAGCTATTGAATAGTGCACTACAAATGTCCCAGACACACTTTCTTGGTAATATATATTCCAGTGACATTCATCTAAGGGTAAATTCCTATTCCTTAGGATGTTCAGAATCATAGGTGCCAGTCACTTTGCTTAGTTTTATGTGCATGAAAATATAGGGAAGGAGGGTGAAAAGAGCACCTGTAGTTCATTTAAACACAGTCTTTTGGTTTTCTGCATGTATTCCAAGCGTTCTGGGCTTAAGCATCATTGAGTGATGGAAGTCAGCAGAGCTTCACCTCATTCACTAACCCAACAGGAAACTTCCCTTGCAAAGTGTAAATTCCCTTACAAACTGAACAGCTAATGTCCCCATGGTAAAGCAACCCCATGTGTCCAAAAGTTGAAGTTGAACCTGAAATTGATCTTTCAATGCATAATAGCAAATCCACCAAGGAATAGCTCAAAAAGAAGGAACTGAAGGTTGTAGACTGGCCTGCAAGAGTGAAGAAATTGTCACTCCCAGGAATTCTCTTCACGTTATAAAATTTATTCAAATGTCATAAAAACATCACACAAATACCTCTGATGCATTTCAGCCCGACCAACGGACCTTAATCATAGCTATGCTGAAACGTGTCAGAGTATCTGTGTGCTGTTTTTATGCTGCTTAAATAATGTTTATACTTGAAGAGGATCCTTGGGAGTGCCGGGTTCTTCACTTTTGCATTTGTTTGGGGTCAAGCCAGAGGCCTTTACCAAGCACCACAGTTCCCTGGGTAGATTTGGCATAGGGGTTTGAGTGACTTTTTTCTTTGTTTGCTTAGTAGACTGGCCTAGTTTAAACCCTGATTTGAATCCCATTGAGATGTTGATGTCAGAGAATGGTAGACTGTTATGCAAAATGCCTACAGGAAGTAATTTTTCCTAAAGGAGGGCTTCTGAGGCCAAAGGGTGTACTTACATTTTCCACAGTGCACCATTACATCTATTAACATTTTTATGAAGAAATTATAGATAAGGCAATTTTTACTTCAGCATATAACCTTTATCTGTAGGCACTGTCTGAGTAAAGAGTTAAGGTGTGTCCGTCCAAATATGTTGAAAAAGTCAGCAATCTCCATGGGATGTACTTACATTTTTTACATGGCTATATGTGTAGTTCACCAGTCCACCACATGTCTGTTTGTTGGCAATCTGGTGGTTTGGAAACCCCTTATTCCCAAGAAGAGGCTGTCTATGGAGTGCCACATAATAGTGTAGTTACCTTTTAAATGCAGCTGTGGTAAGTACCTGAATTTGACCTGGTATCAACCTCCTGTAATCCCCTATACAATAATGATAGAAGGATGAGCCAGTATTGGGAATCAGGAGTTGTGCGTTAAAACACATGTGCTAACAAGGAACATGCTGACAGAAGAAGAGAGTGATGAGCTCATTAAACTGCAGCTGTTCCTTTGCTTCCTTATCACAGGCTGGAGATGGGGAGGCTACCAAGCTGTATTGTTTAGCTACAGTGGAGAAGTGTCAGATCTCCAACCTGTTTTACTGTCTGACAATGTAAATATTAGAACTGGACAAACAGAACTACAAATTCTTTGGTGGTTTGAACAACAGCCACACAAGTATTTATGCTGGGATTAAGTTTTAAAGGAAAAGAAAAAGTGAAAGAGTTGCTTTTGAAGATCAGTCATCTATATCAGAATATGTCTATAGCTAAGTAAAAAATTTGAGTTTACTTTTATTTTTTAACTTAGGACTACAATATTAGTTGCCATTTTAGGCTACATGTTAAAGCTGCCATTTTTTCATCTTTACAATTACCAGAAAATAAGTTTGTTGTGTTAAATAAGTATCTACTCTTGCTGTACAAATTTAACTTTAAATATACTGTATCTATTGTAAAAACATTTGTGAAACAAATTAAGAATTCAAATAATTAACGCCCAATTTGCACTTTATATGCAGAATCAATTTATGAATTAAAATAATAAAATCACTATTTTCAAGACATGTTCACAAGGCTTTTAAGACCAGTTCAAATAAGTATGTTTATTATAATGTTTTGTACTTTCAGAGTTTGTGTCATACATGTCAGTGGCTTTCATTGGCAGTGTGTATCAGAAGAATGTAACCAGCCAGAGTGTTGAAAATTCTGTTAAAAATGAAAGATACAATTTTGATTTGTAGTTTGTATCCATCACCAAAATATATTCACAGCAAGAGAATAAACTCTTAAAAATCTGCTTTAATAGCAATTTTCTCAGTTCAGCACTGCGTTCCCATTTGCAGTTACAACTTGGACTTATATATACTTTATATAATATTTTTTTTTTCTTAAAAGCAGAGAAAACCTGTTCCCTACCGAGTAACCGACAGCATGCATGGCAAATTGATTTTATGATTGATGGAGATGCTGAGGCTTACTGAATGACCAAAACTGGTGGAGAAATAGTTCTGTCTCTGCATCATGAAAGTCATATATATATTTATATTTGTGTGTGGATGTAATACACTGATTGTTTTGGTGCAAATCATTAAAAATACTCACATAATTAGTATTTGTCCTTCAGTGACAACAACAAATAAAAAAGTGCATTAAGGAGAGTCTCAGAAAATGCTATACACTTTCCAAACGTTATCTATAGCATATAAAGACCAAGCAGCAACTTAACTTTTAGGGGCTTATTCACAAAGCTGCTGAAGGCAGCCGAGTGAATAACCGAGCCGAAGGGAAGTGAGCCGAACGACGCTCAGCTATTCACTCCGGCTCAGTACGGCTGATTTCAGCCGTACATCGGCTGCCTTCGGTCAGCTAAACATGTTCTGCATTATCGGCTGAACTGAAGTGCAAAAGAACTTCGACTCCAACATCCAACATCTGGCTGAGCCGGACCTCCAGCAGCTCACTCGCTGCCATTCGCCCCTATTCCCATAGGTGCCGAACGGCAGTGAGTGATTAGATTAACTTAGTGATACCGAGCAGAATAGCAAATAAGTAAAAAGAAAGGGAAAAAAATAGTTGGAAAATATGTAAAAAAATGAAAACAAATAGTCAAAAAAAAAATTAAGATATTTTAAAGAAAAGAAAAAAAAAACAATTGGGCAGAGCTAGCGGAGACCGCTCACTCCACCCCACTTTTTCCTATTGGCCGGCACCTGCTAGAGTCTTCTAGCAGGTGCCGGCCAATGAATAACAACTGGGCATAGCCAGCCGTGATATCACAGCTTGCTCCGGCCAGATGTTATTGTTTAATGATAGATGAGCATCCCCAGGTCATTTTGGGATGCCGATCCGTCATTACAACTGGGTGGAGCCAGGCGTGAGATCATGGCTGGCTCCATCCAGCTGTCATTTGTGGTGCGAACGGCAGGCTGTTCTTCCCGCTTCGGCTCAGTTGAGCCGAAGCATATGCCTTTGGCTCGGCTGCCTTCGGCTGCTGTACGAGCTATTGTGAATAGCCCGTGCAGCAGCCCGTCGGTTCGACTCCTGCGGCCGAAGAGAGCTGAAGGATCAGTCAAAGCTATGGCTGGATCCTTTGGCTCTTTAGTTAATAACCCCCTTAATCTCCTAACTGTGACACTAACACTTCCATTTGGACCCCACATTTAACCAGACCTGTTCTTACAGCTTCCAGCTCGACTCTGTTACATTTAGTCATTTAGAGAACCTCAAGTGGATCTTCTCCTACCTCTGTCCCTATAGCTACTATTTGGACTCCCTTACTCTGACTTTTCAGTCCTTAACAGAACCTCAAGTGGATTGTACTAATTCCTGCTCCTGTGTTACCCTGAGTCTCCTAACTTATATAACTTCCTGTTGTACACACTGATCATGGTGTTTTTTTGAATGTACCCCTTAGCATCATGCATGTGAAATTTTAGATATGTTTTACCTAAAGTTAAGTAAACATCATTCCTGGTAATGTTTTCAAGTACATTAGAAAAGGTTTTCCAAAACGGCACATTAACATTTTTTCAGAACACACAATCCTTGAACTTTAGTCATTCTACAATTTATATTCAATAATTAGTGGTTTTACACTGTGGCGGTGGTGGGGAAATTACCAGATTGGCAAATCAAAAACATTGGCAGCTGAAACAAGTCTTATTTTGTGTTTATAGCTAAGTGGAGTCAACAAATTCAGCAGCACATGAATTATGTCACTGGCTTGTAAAACTTTATTCAGGCTCTACATGTGCCACTTAGTTCTGCCCATGGTCTGCCCATCTATGACCCATTTCACATGCATGTGTGGTGAGCTATTTGACTGGATTTCTGGTTTGAGTTATACAAAGTAAAAGTGGCCTCTTAACCCCTGACCTCTCTAAAATCAGACCTATCTTCCCTAATTCCGGTTACTATGCTCAATACATAAATACAAAGTCTGTGTTATTAAGACTGTGTAACATTTTGTACATTTTACCTGTCTCTTACCAGATTACATACAGCCGGTGTGTTTGCCGGAGAGCCTGAGTAATTTTCCATCTGGGCTGAACTGTTCCATTGCTGGGTGGGGAAGAACCCAAAGTCAAGGTACATTAGATATAATATTACTGCTGCATCATTCCAGAGCAATACTTAACTTTATCTAAAGGGTTATGACATCTCTGACCATCCTGTAATGTGTAAAGCCCACCTTCCTGCCCTAACCTTTGGGGGGAATTACTATTAGAAAGACAGCTAATTCTAGGAACTGAGTTTAGAAAATATCTTCCCACACCATTTTACCATTTAAAAAGCAAACCGCTCTGATTCAATCTGAACCTTTACCCATATTAATGGCGGTTAAAGAAGAACTCCATGCTAACTCAAAATGCAACATGTCAGTGAGAATGTAGAAGCTCTTGACTTCACTGACACTGACTATAACCAATTAACACCACTTTCCCGTCACTCTTCGAAATGATCACACTGATTTAATAAGTAGCTGCAAAGTGTTAAAGTGGTCTTCAGAGAGCTTTTTCCTGTCATTTGTGTTCAATATTCTCAGAAAATTTTGGTAATGCTTACTGGAAGTGGCCAAGCTAACAACTTGACCACCAAAGATTTGGCAGCTTATTAGCGCTTAATAAATAAGTCAGCCTACAATGACCCCAAAGTATATGTCTATACCCATCCATTGCACTCCACCAGGCAATACTGACTCCTGAGCTATATTTCTGTACCCATATATTCTAATAAATCAGTGTATACTGACTCCCGAGGTATGTGTCTATATGCATCCATTCCACTACATCATGTAATACTGACTTCTGAGGTATGTGTCTCTACAAATCCATCGCACTATATCAGTTTATACTGACGTCTAAGAAATATGTGTATACCCATCTACTGCATTACTGACCCCTGAGGTTTGTGTCCATTCTCATCCACTTCAATACATCAGTTTATACTGATGCTACATCAGCTTATACTGACTCCTGAAGTATGTGCCTGTAACCATCTAGTCCATTATATCAGTTTATACTGACTTCTGAATTATGCTTCTGTACCCATTACCTCCCATACATGAGTTTATACTGACTCCTGGGGTATGTGTCTGTACAAATGCATCCCACTGCATTCTTTAATGCTGACTCCTGAGAAATGTGTGTATACCCTTGTACTCTACTGCATCAGTTTTTACTGACTCCTGAGGTTTTGTGTCTGTGCCCATTTGCTCTGTTACTTAAGTTTATACTGATGCCTGAGATATGTGTCTGTTCCTATCCACTTCAATACATTAGTATGAGTCCTGAGGTATGTGTCTATACCCATCTAATCCGTCAATGTATACTGACTCCTAAAATAGGTGTCCGTAGCAATCCATTCCATTACACCAACTTATGTTGACTCCTGACGTATGTGTCTGTAACTCCCGAGTTGTGCCCATATACATCTTCTCCATTGCATTTTTTTATACTGACTCCTAAGGTATGTGTCCGTACCAGTCTTTTCCAATACACTAGTTTATACTGACTCCTGAGGTATGTGTCTATAGCAATCCACCCCACCACATCAAGTTATGCTGACTTCTGGGGTATGTGTCCTTGCCCATCTTCTGCATTACATCAGTATATACTAACCTCGGAGGCATGTGTCTATACCTATTCACTCCTAAAGTCTCAGTGCTGCTGATTCCCTTTAGTCCCTTTCAGCTACTTCCTGTCTATATGTCTTTAATGGCAGAATCACAGGTATTATTTTACCAAAAGCAAAGATTTAATAAAATTGAAAACAACCTTTGAAATTACATGTTGAAGCTTAAATGAGATTTTAATGACTGGGTATAACCTTTGTACGGACCTTAGATTTAGTTATACATACAGTATAATGAAATATCATTGAAGACATCTCTTTTCCAAACTGAATATTCAGTTTCTCCAACCAGTTATTGTACACGAGGTGCCACATCTTCCTTTTATTTATTTAATTGCCCACCTTTGAACCAGCTCCAAAACCTTTTAATCATTAGTCTACCTAAGTTTTAGTAATATACACTTTTATAAAGGGGTTTGTGGAAAATGTTTTTCTCGGGTTATTTCGTTTAGTCAGGTCTTTGAATAAACAGCTATGGACAGTTTATGATTTTCTGACAGCTTAAATGTATTTTCTTCAACGCTGACGTTATTTTGAAGTGATGTTGTTGTAGAGATTCAGCAGAGGTGAACAGGGTTCCTCTGCAATGCAGCAGATACATAGCCATTGTCCTAATTCTATTTCTTGACATTATGGCTGCTAACCCAGCTAGTCAACAAACAACTAAAAAAAGAAAGTAAAAAAAAAAATACTCCTACTAACAACCTCATCAACATGGCAATCGAGTTTATTATGCTGTATTTCTAAATCAAAATTTATGTGAGGAAATCATTTTAATAACCCCATAAACTGGCACTGTTTATTACATCCATGATAATAAAATGCTAGTAATTACTGACCTGCTTTGCAATCAGGCCACCAATTTAAAAGCACAACCGCTGGGAAATGCTGATTCAATGGATATGTTGTGTAAAAACGGACAGCTTGAAATTAAATTATCTGCATTGCCAGCAGTGATACATGTGACTGTACTGTCCACCTTCCAGTTTATAGCTTTGAAATTAATGTTCAAAGGACCAGTACGCTAGACTTAAAAAAGGACTTTGCGCAAAATAGCCTCTTCTCAGCATTTATATACACTATATTACCAAAAGTATTGGGACACCACTCCACATCATTGGATTCAGGTATTCCAGGAAATTTCCTTGCTACTAAATATCCCACGGTCAACTGTTAGTGGTATCATAACAAAGTGAAAGCAACTGGGAACAACAGCAACTCAGCCACAAAGTGGTAGGCCACGTAAAATGACAGAGCAGGGTCAGCACATGCTGAAGCACACAGTGCTCAGAAGTCGCCAACTGTCTGCAGAGTCAATAGCTACAGACCTCCAAACATTGTGTGGCCTTCAAATTGGCACAACAACAGTGCTTAGAGAGCTTCATGAAATGGGATTCCATGGCTGAGTAGCTGCATCCAAGCCTTACATCACCAAGTGCAATGCAAAGCATCAGATGCATTGGTGTGAAGCACGCTGCCACTGGACTCTAGAGAAGTAGAGACATGTTCCCTGGAGTGACGAATCACGTTTCTCTGTCTGGCAATCCGATGGACGTGTCTGGATTTGGCGTTTGCAAGGAGAACGGTACTCACCTGACTGCATTGTGCCAAGTGTACAGTTTGGTGGAGGGGGGATTATGGTGTGGGGTTGTTTTTCAGTGGTTGGGATTGGCCCCTTAGTTCCAGTGAAGGGAACTCTTTAGGGATCAGCAAACCAAGACATTTTGGACAATTTCATGCATCTAACTTTGTGGGAACAGTTTGGGGATGGCCCCTTCCTGTTCCAACATGACTGCGCACCAGTGCACAAAGCAAAGTCCATAAAGACATGGATGAGTGAGTTTGGGTGGGAGGAACTTGACTGGCCTGCACAGAGTCCTGACCTCAACCCGATAGAACACCTGTGGGATGAATTAGAAAGGAAATTGCGAGCCAGGCCTTCTCGTCGAACAGCAGTTCCTGACCTCACAAATGCGCTTCTGGAAGAATGGTCAAGCATTCCCATAGACACACTCCTAAACCTTGTGTACAGCCTTCCCAGAAGAGTTGAAGCTGTTCTAGCTGCAAAGGGTAGGCCACCTCAATATTTAACCCTACGGACTAAGATTGATATGCCATTATAGTTCATGTGCGTGTAAAGGCCGGCGTCCCAATACTTTTGGCAATATAGTGTAAATGTGTGTGAAAGTAATCATACCAGGTCAAAGCATTTGTGCAGGCTGTGAAGAGGCACAAGGACCATCTGGGAGTTTGAGGTACAATAATACTACATGTGGGTCGGGCTGATGCTAGGACCCTCTTCTACAGTCATGTAGATCTGGACTCTTCAAACTTTGGGGAAGGTGATCATAATGCACTAACCATGCCCCTGGATTATAATATGATTTCAATCTGCTGGAACCTCTTTTACTCCCTGCCTGAGTGGCATTGAGACATGCAAAATACCTATCCCATTTCATCTTGACAAGTGAAGACAGTGTTTTAAACCTGATCCCAGCTTGGCTTTGTGAGCCATCTAAGAGTTTGGGGTATCTACTAGGCTAATCTTCATCTCTGTCCACAAGTCATTGCCCCTGGGTAGTAATTGACCTAAGTGGGTAAAATTGTTTGTGGTACAGGTTTATCTGTAGAAAATGTTGAATTTTTGATAATGTATAGCATTGCACTGTACAGTTTGTTTCTTCTTGATTCGCAGCCACTATCAGTTAAAGATGGCTTGCACGTGGCAGTATTCTCCTATGTACAGGAAGTTGGCTGTGTTTAGGACAATGACATAGATGGACAAATATTCTCCAAGAATGCCTTTGATATTCCTGGTGGTGGTGGTACCAATATTTTCCTCCTTCAGTCTGATGCACTAACTTGACAAGGAATGCACCCACTCTGGAGAACATTTTGTAACAAAAGTCCCCTAGTAGGCTAGAAACAGTTTCACTTTCACAAGCAATGATCATAATCACAAAAGTCACTTGTTATTGTCAGCCTGTGTTCAGTCACCAAATCTGATTAAAAAAATCAGTTCTAATGTGCTTCTGAAACTGCCCATATTATGCAAAGTACACAAGGATAATTCCACCCAAAACGGCTACCCTGGTGGGCTGAATTGTCTTCTCATATCTCATTTAGGGGCTGCAACAAGATTTTCCAACTGCAATACCTCTTCCATCATGGAACCTCATTCACATCTCCTCCACTACTGCATTCCCCGCACACCTCTCGTTCCCCCTACCTGACACCTCTTCCACCACTTTTCCCTCCCAACACTTCTGCACCACTGCATTACCTTGCACATCTCTGCAGCCTTTCCCAGCACACCTTTGCCACCAATGTCCCCCAGCACACCTCTGTAACCCCTAACACACCTCTACCACCACTGTACCCCCTGCACACCTCTGCCTCCTTCCATTGTACTCCGTCTGTACCCCCTAACTCACTCCTTCCACCACTGTACTCCCCAATACACATTTGCCACCACTGTACTCCCCCTGCACACCTTTTCACCCCTTAACACACCTCTGCTACCATAATACCCTTAGACACCTCTGCCTCCGCTGTGCTATTTCTCTTTCCTCACACCTCTGTACCTCCTAATACACCTCTGCCACTAATGTTCCCTCCACACCCCTCTGTCATCACTCTGTCACCCCCCCTGTACACTTTTATACTTCTGTATCCCCTACCTCACATCTGCTACTACTGTTCTCTGGGCACACCTCTGTACCTCCAGCACACCTATGCTCTTTTCTATAACACTACTTGTAATTTATTTATGCTAGACCTGTATCCTTATTATTTCTAATCATTCTCCTGCTTTTTTTCTACAGGTCCTATTCCTAATATATTGCAAGAAGCTGTGGTACCTCTGATAACCAAAAGCAAATGCCAGCAGCAAATGCCTGAGTATAATATAACCAACAGTATGGTCTGTGCTGGATATAATGAAGGAGGGATCGACACATGTCAGGTATGAAGCGTAAAGTTGAATTTTTTTATCATTGCAATGTTTCCAGATCTGGTTTTTAAAGTTGCAGAATAGCTTGGGTTTGCAGAGTCAGAAATGATGAGAAGTCTCTCCAATATGGAAGGCACACAGTAACAAAAACGTTGTCAAGTTTTTGTTACTGTCTGGGTTTTGACTGGACTTTATAGTTTACCTTGCAGTTTAAACTGGCTAAATACATTTTGTGTGCATCAAAACAAAAGCGGTACAAAGTCTTCAGTTTTTCATAATCAGACACAACCTGAGTGGAAGAGCCTGTCCCCAGCAGCATGGTGCAGAAAGTATCCTTGCTCTCTGTAGGGAAGCGATGCCCCCACTGTAGAGGTCCATCGCTCTCCCTGCTGAGTCACGGCCAGAGTTTTCTCATCATCAGGGAGCATGAGCTATAGGTCTGATAAAATATTGTCAGACTTCTGCAATGAGACCACTGCTTTCACACAGAGAGCAAGGGTTTCACATTGCAGCTGCAGGCAGGGGAAGGCTTTTCTACTCAAGCTGTGGCTGCTTTAGAAAAAAAAAACTGTTAGACAAGAACAAGTTTTGTTTTGATGACTGCAGTGCACTGGATTGAAACTGATGATTCACTTGGGCTTTCACCAAAAGGCTTTTAGAATACCAGCTATACTGTATAAGAAATGTATAGATCAGGGGTAGTCAAACTCCAGCCCTGCAACTGTGGTGGAACTACAAATCCCACAAGGCATTGCAAGATTCTCACAGCCACAGACATGACTCCCGGAGAGAGATGCATCATGGGATTTGTAGTTTCACCACAGCTGGAGGGCCGGAGTTTGGCTACCCCTGGTATAGATTCTGTCACAGTTGGAAACTGTACACACAGCACATCCTGTGTGGATGGCAGGGCTCTTTTAAAGGCTATTTTTTCCTCTTTAGCTTGTGTCTGCAACAATGTTATTGTAAGTGCAGACATGTGGCTCAGTAGGATCACCAACTCAGTAGGGCTTTACATGTGAATTCCCCTATTTTCCTACACACACGCTTAATCTTGGTAGTGTAAAGGCTTTCAAAAAGGGAAGAGTTCTATTATAGAAATATGGATCATTTTTAAAGCCAATGTGCCACTATAAAGAAATATAAATGTCACTCTGTACTGGTGCCTGTGACCAGTGCCATGACTCAAATCTTCACAGTCTTACAGACCTACACTGGCCGAAACTTAAACATCCTTCACTTCTGGGTGCGTCAGATGTCTATTCTGCCCCACTTCGCATTGTGGTTCCACCTGTCATTACAGCGCTGCCGGAACACATTAGTAAGGTGGTGGGTGAAACCACAGGACGAAACAGGAGACTCTTTTACATGTTATTTCATGTCCTTTTCTTTTACATGTTATTTCATTGTGGGGTTTTTTTAGCCACAGAGTCTCTGTAACCTAGAAGCTAGGTAGTTAGTACTCTCTTGACCTGTAATGTTCAGTGAAGCCCTATGTGCACATAGATTGTATGTTCTTCCTATGTTTTTATGTTTTCTCTTAAAATGCAAAATTGTGCTGGTGGGTTAAATTGCTCTTAATGAAAATGTGAAAGCCTGTGTCAATTTGTGTTAGAGATATTAGACTGTAAGCTCTTTTGGACAGGGTTAGCTATGCATTGCTTTATATACTTACTGCAGACTATGTTATAGCTTATAAATCACATGAAGAAATAATAATATTAACCCCTACAGTGTTGTTGTATTGCAAAGCAGCCTTTTACAACGCACAGTAATTTAGGGCCCTGCAAACCAATTAAGATTCATTCCAGCCTTCAGCTATATACATTGAATTGGGGGCCTGCAGGCCGATAAAAATGTATTTCAGCTTGGGAATTCAGCAGCTGAAAACCTACAGTGCATAGCATTGACTGAGAATTAGCATACCTTACTGTGATACACTCTATCAAGCTGAGTTTATGATATGCTTTGCCAACCTTTCTGACAATGACAGCACAGTAGTCACAAGCGGAATGGCTCATTCTATAAAATAGCTTTCTAAGAATGTGTTGGTATGTTTAAAAAAAAAAAAAAGAATACAAAAAAATAAATCCAATACCGCTTTCTGTGACAGCCTAATGCAATTGAAACAACCTTGCCTGTATTAGAGCTACAACCTTACAATAACAGATTGCTTAGACAGATAAAGAACATTTTAGCTGTTTGTCATTGTTATACATATTGCTGTTTTCACTATCAGCTAAAACATATACGTTTAATTTGACAGACATCCTGTATAAAACAATTCTCACTTTGGCTCTGCTGAAAAACACTTGGGAAACAGGGCAATAGGAGACAAGAAACTATCAATAAAAAGCAATGATGATAGTGGAAGAGAGCAAAGAAAGATGGGAAGGAGGGTGTAAAAACAAGGATTAGATAGGTGCAATGATGATAATGGAAGAGAGCAAAGAAAGATGGGAAGGAGGGTGTAAAAACAAGGGTTAGATAGGTGCAATGATGATAATGGAAGGGAACAAAGGAAGATGGGTAAGAATGGTGTAAAAACAAGGGTTAGATAGGTTCAATGATGATAATGGAAGGGAACAAAGGAAGATGAGAAGGATGGTGTAAAAACAAGGGTTAGGTAGGTGCAATAATGATAATGGAAGGGAGCAAAGGAAGATGGGTAAGAATGGTGTAACAACAAGGGTTAGATAGGTGCAATGATGATAATGTAAGAGAGCAAAGGAAGATGAGAAGGAGGGTGTACAAACAAGGGTTAGATAGGTGCAATAATGATAATGGAAGGGAGTAAAGGAAGATGGGTAAGAATGGTGTAACAACAAGGGTTAGATAGGTGCAATGATGATAATGGAAGGGAGCAAAGGAAGATGAGAAGGAGGGTGTAAAAACAAGGATTAGATAGGTGCAATGATGATAATGGAAGGGAGCAAAGGAAGATGAGAAGGAGGGTGTAAAAACAAGGGTTAGATGGGTGCAATAATGATAATGGAAGGGAGCAAAGGACGATGGGAAGGAGAGTGTAAAAGCAATGGTTAGATCAGTTGCAATCACCATCCCCCTCTATTGCTACTATGTTTGACCCAGGGCTCAATCCAGAGGAGTAACAAGAAACCTCAGGGCCCCGGTGCAGGAAACCATTTAAGGGCTCCCCCCCAAAAAACATGTTTTTTATACTTTTTTTTTAATTAAATAAGCAGTATGTGTGTTATGACATTCAGGGCTAGTTCACACGAGCCCCAGTGGGTTCCGTCCCAATTTGGTGCTGGAATACAGTGGATCGCATCCCAGCCAGTGGCTTAATCTGTATAATCTAATCTCACTCCTCTTCAGGTCACACTTGTACAAAGAGCCTGCAGATAGCTAGTGCTCTAGCTTGGAACTTATCACCTGCTTGGTACACTATATAAATAAGTATTTAAAGCCATTCTAGGTCATGATGTGGCTAGTAGTAATTAGGTAATTTATCACACTCAACTGGACTTGTTCTGTGATGTTGAACAACATTCAACATTGCGTAACAAATCCAGTTGAATGTGAGCAGCTGCTACTAGCTACGATATAAATACAAAATACTCATGTATAATATTTTACATTACTTTACTTCACATTACTTAAAGTGACACAGAAGTTAAATCTTAAAAATGCATTCAGGTACCTTAACTATGAACAGAAATGTATCTTATGTGTGTGTCACTCGGCTGTAGATCCACAAATCATCTCTGAATTGGAGTGGTGGCTACTTTACAACACACACAGGGACCATGGGGATCAAATGTAGCCACCCTCCAGAAGGAAGGACAGTGTCAGCACCAATTCAGAGATGATTAAGAATCTACAGCCAAGTGATACACACATAAGATACATTTTTATTTTTAGTTACGGTACCTGAATACATTTTTAAGATTTAACTCCTGAGTTTAGTGTCATAAAATATATTTGTAAAAATGGTGTATATATATATATCTATATATAAATGACAGCTTCCTTCTGTATGCTATGTTGCTGATCACTATAGGGAGACTCTGGCGGCCCACTGATGTGTCATCAGGAAAATCGTTGGTACCTGGTGGGAGCGACTTCATTTGGATATGGATGTGCACAGCCCGAAAGACCTGGAGTTTATGCACGAGTGACAACATTTACAGAATGGATTCAAAGCTTTCTGATTTAGAGAATACCTTCAACAAGGCTACTTTTTTCGCACAACAATCCTTTTTTTAAAGTTGCTTTGCACAATCCAAAACCTGAACAATATTCTAAAATGATAATAGTGTAATTATGTTAATAAATTGTGTGTTATTATTCAGTGCTTCTTTTGTATCAACACCTATATTATGTAATCACCTGATACCACAGTAAATGAAATGCTGGAACCACCTTGTTGATCTGTTAACAAAAACACTTTTCATGTAAAACTATTATTTTAGCTGCTAATGATGTGTGTTTTACATAGAAATAGTGTACGTATTCTGCTCAGATTTTATTTTGCTTCAATTATGTATTTAAATTAAACATAGCATATTTGATTTGGGAGCATTTTGAGCTATTCATACAGTGTTTACATTAAAGTGATTTTCAATATGACTTGTACATTTTGACAAGCCTTTTTGTTCCACATTTTTATTACTAATTCTGTATCCTTTAAATTGGAGAAGTATTGTGCCAGTCACTGTGGACGTCAGTGAACTTAAATACTTGTGGTAAAGCCCCAACCACTGTAGCACTGCAAAGCAGGAAGCAGAGACTGCACAGATAATGACCAGGTATTGCCTCTCATTCTTAAAGAAGAACTCCAGGCAAATCAAATATTAACCCTTGCAGTGGGGCTACCCCAGGGGCGTCCCGAGGCCGAGTGTCACCCGGAGCAGTGACAGGGTGACACCCGTCGTGATGTCATCGCGTATGACATCACTGGACTACCCCCGTACCACATGGGTTAAAGTAGTATTACAGTCACTTTCTTTTTTTTTACATATATCTACTGCTACCGAGCAATAGATACATGCAAAAACATAAAAATAATAAAACAAGTTACCAAATAGGTAAATGATGGTGTCTCGAGCGGCCGTGCAGGATGAAGGGGTGTATGTGCAATAGAGATCTTCAGAGGGGAGAAGAGCAGACACAGTAAGCCCTCATTCACATTAGTAAATGCCGGCATTTTCATCTCCGTGCTGCGTGCACGGCTGTATCGGGCAGCTCCCGGGAAGGACTGGTGCTGCGTGTGATTAGTGCACAGCCCCTGTCCTTCTCTATGGGACTACGCGTCCATAAGCCCCCCTACGCTCACCTCAAGTGCAGGTCCGTGCAGGTGTGTGTTTCCTGGCTCAGATACAGACAGGATCCATCCTGTCAGTGTACGAGTACGCTCACCCGCACGGATGTGCAGGGTGGGTGAGCATAGGGTGGCGTACGGCCACGTAGTCCCATAGAGAAGGACAGGGGCTGCGTACTAATCAGACGCAGCACCTCTCCTTCCCAAGAGCTGCCTGATACGGCCGTGCAAGCAGCACGGAGCTGTACGTGCCGGCATTTTCTAGTGTGAATGAGGGCTAAAGGTGAATGCAGGCAACCGGGAGCGTGCAAGTCGGACAGGCACCCTGGGACCCAAAGACTCTGCGCTGGATCAGAGACCGGCACCAGCGCTGGAGGGACTCTGGAAAACTAATGGAAAGAAGAAGATGATCGGATCAAGAGACATCATTTAAGGGAAGTCCTTAAAGCAGCATTATGGGGGAGGGAAAAAATTGTAACTTTAATGTCACTTTAAGTGTTAATTTTTTCTAGGGAGCTAAAATAACAAAGATGTACTCACCCAAATCTTGGACCCAGCTGGCTGCAAAGTCCCTGCAGTCTTAATCCCCCTTCACTCACTGGCAGTCTAGGGTCCCTTGAGTCATCACTTCCAATACACTGTGTTGGACATGAGGACACTGGGGGACATCTCATTGTCCAGCGAAGGGGGAGAGATGCTGCAGGGAGTGGTCTATCAGCCCGCCGAGTCCGAGATTCGTGAGTAAATCTTTAATATTTTAGCTCCCTAGATAAAACAAACACTTATCCCTTGCAGTGCAGGAGCAGCCCCACTGCAAGAGTTAAAATGTAATATGCCTGGAGCTATTCCTTAAGCTTAACTCCAGACAGATATAAAATGTACAAATTAATGCAGCTCATGAATATATCCCTGACTTTATTTTTAAATGCAAGCAGTCTAAATATCTGAATTTGACCTGATATTAGCCTGTTGTAGTTTGTGTACAGCGGAGCTTAAATTGGGGAAGGGAGAAGCAGCTCAGGGAGTAAACCAGTTGTGCTGTTGTACAAGGTGTCATGCTTACAGGAGGGAAAATCTCAGTGACAGAGAGACATAAGCTCATCAGTCATTGCCCAGACACAGGGGTGTGTGTGTGTGTGTGGGGGGGTAACAGACCTTAACTATAGCAGAAAAAAATGGCTGTGCTGTAAGGTAGAGCTGTGTAAATCTCAAAACTGTGTGGCAAGAACTATATAAATCTGTTGGCAGGTAAATGAGAATTGTATTTGCACTTGCTGCATCAGGACCAATGTCTCTAATCGTATTGTGTCTCACTTCCAAATTCCGAGTACACAGACTCCTCTCTCCTTTGTACATTTCTGAAGAATATTTTGGCAATCTCTAAATAAATATTTGAAAATTGTCACTTGGATCAGAGGCATGTTTTTCCTTTGTTAAGTCTCATTTTGAGACTTGACTATGATTGATATGGCTGTGAAGCCCCGTCAGTTCGGAATAAAAGACGAAGAACATTGCCAATTTGTGCAAAAAAAATAATTTGGCAAAATACGTCTGCATAATGGCAGGAGAATTGTGTTTTTTCTCTTTGTAAAATGAGAGTCATTGTTCTAGATGCATGTAGATGGCCCATTAATATTTCAAAATGCATATTATGGCATAACAAATTAAAAATAATTTAACTTGTTGCAAAGATTATTCTTTACTATCAGTTCTATTATTTGAAGCTGTAATTTAAATATTAATATACTTAGCTAAGTAGAAAAATAAAGCAAGAAAAGAATTGGCCTTTATCTTTAAAGAAAACTTGTGGCGCAAAAGAAGAGTTGAACATTTGTCTGTATTATAGGCATCTTAAAGATCTGGCTCAGTGTTATTCTAGGGAGCTCCAGGATCCACAAATAGCAGGGTGTCCTAACGTGAAAACAGCAACCAAATTAATTACTTCTGGCTATGGTCCTTCCTCTCTCTGACTGGCATTTAGAGAAGCCGTTCATCACAAGGATTGGTCAATAGTCAGATACAAGAGGGAACAGACAAGGACCAAGTGATCACAGAAGTTGGGTTCTGCCCAACCTGACCTTCCCTAAACTGAATGATATGCATTAAAAGTAATTCCAAACTACGATGCGGATTTATTTCATACTTCTATGTTAGATAACATCAGAACCTGCCATCAGTAACTACAAATGGGCTATACATGTGTAGCCGTATTGTGGTGTCAGGTCCTTTAAGAGAAAAGA